TCGGGCACGAAACATGTCAACAAACCCACAAGGTGATTCCTGTCATTATAACAAAGCATATTTTTAAAAAAACCTCAATAAATAATCCGGCATATATTTTCAAAATCCCTTTGTGTGCTCTGCTCTGGACATGCAGATTTCAACCATATTTTGCATGATGGTTCCTGAGATCAGGGAGCAGGTTTTTCTATAAGTTAAGATGCAATTGGATGCCATTGTAAACCAAGATGGTCGACTGAATTTTTCAAAACTGATTTTTCAGTGTGTGCAAATTCTTGAGGAAGGATGGAATATGGGTACTTTGATTTGGCAAGAAGAAGGTCCTTAGTGATCTCCACAAAAGCCATCTCAGAGGAATGCAAAGGAGAAAAGCCATCTTGTAGGTGATCCCTGGCTGAACCAGAAGGAACAAAAACAGAAGGGATAAAAACAGTGAGAAGAGATAACATGCTCCAGAAGTTTAGAACCAAAAGGCAGCAGAGATTGGACCATTAGAAGGAGAAGAAGGATCAAGGGATGACATTCCTGGGAATAGGAGAAACTGTGGCATGTTTAGATGCTCTTGCAAACAAGCCAGAAGAGGCTTGCTAATGATATGTAAAGCAGAGAAGCAATAAGAGGAGCAACCATACGTAGCCAGAAGACAGAAGGGAACCAGGTCAGGACGACAACAGGAAGGACTGAAAGAGGACAACAAACCTCACAGCAACCCTTCAGAAGCAGAAGAAAAGGTTGGAAGAGCAAGAGAAGAAGGAGGGACATGTAAAAGCAGCAGAGTAAAAGGGTCATGAGCTGCAGAAGATAGGAGAATAATAGAGCAGTTCCAAGGAGAATGAGAGAAAGGAAGGTGAGAGGGAGACAAGCAACCAAGGGAGATCAGCTTGGAAGAGAGGGAATGAGAAGCAGCCCTGGTGAAAGGCACCAATGTCCCACATGAAGGAGATGAACGACTAAAGGTCACAGGAGAAGAAGCCTTCAGATATCCACCCTTTAATTGCCATACATCAACCAAGTTAAAATTAATTATGCTTAATGCAGAATACCAAAGGCAAGCAAAAGCGTCATCAAAGTCCAATCATTCAGTTGTTGGACCACAATGGTTTGTATGATGCCCTTGATGCAGAAAAGCAAAACCTATATAAAAATATTAAAAGACCCACCTGGAGAAAAACACTTTGTTCTCTGCTGGCGGACAGGAGAGGGACCTGCCAGAGGCTCAGTTGCAGAAATATTTGTGTCTCTTCCTGATGAGGGAGGATGCAAGGCTTTCCTCCTGCAGTTCTCAGGGACCCCAGGGGCATCAGCTCAAAGGAAGCTGCTCTGCAGTGGACAGAACTCAGCACCAGCCTCCCTTGACAGACTAGGTCCCAGAAGCTGCAACTGTTGGGATCACAGAGTTCTACCATCTGATCTATCTATTTTAAGCACAGGCTGTGTGAAGTGGCAGCAATCCTTTGGTTGTATTTTCTCCATTACATAATTTCTCTTCTGTCTCTAGTTCTAGTTCACCTTGTGCAAAGGAATGAGGCCCCTCTCAAGTCCCCCTGTGCACCCCCTAAATCTGTTCTGGGTCTCTCCCTAAGCCTCCAGAGCAGATCTGAGGGGAGCCCAGGGTGCATGTAGAGTGGGGAGATACCTTTACACCAGTGCTAGTGCAAAATATAGTTGAAAGCCACCCTTTAGGCTCCCATGCACACCCAACTGGACTCAGCTACATTTGTAAAGATAAAGCACTTTATATGCATTATAGCCAGGTGGCGCTGTGGGTTAAACCACAGAGCCTAGGACTTGCTGATCAGAAGGTCAGCGGTTCGAATCCCCGCTACGGGGTGAGCTCCCGTTGCTCAGTCTCAGCTCCTGCCAACCTAGCAGTTCGAAAGCACGTCAAAGTGCAAGTAGATAAATAGGTACCACTCTGGCGGGAAGATAAATGGTGTTTTTGTGCACTGCTCTGGTTCACCAGAAGTGGCTTAGTCATGCTGGCCACACGACCCGGAAGCTGTACGCCGGCTCCCTCGGCCAATAAAGCGAGATGAGCGCCGCAACCCCAGAGTCGGCCACGACTGGACCTAATGGTCAGGGATCCCTTTACCTTTTATGTATTATAGCACTCTGGCACCAAATGGCGCAGAGGAGTCCCATTAACAGAGAACACACTTGGGTGTTCTCACTGCAATAAATAAAGAGGCACTGCACATCACGTTATGGTTCATTGACCAATAAATATGATCTGGGTGCCCTTCCTACAGATGACTACTTTTGAAAGAATTTTTGGACCTTGAATTAAAATGCAGATCTGGCTTGGGAAGGACCTCAAGGAAGCCAGTCTAGGGTCCCAGCACAAGACAGTGTGCCAAATACCTGTGATGGAAAAACTAACACCAAAACTGAAATTAGGAAAGGTAGTAAAACCCAAGGAAACTTTCCCTGGAGAAAGGCGGAACTTTATCACGTATGCAAAGATTCCAGAAAATGAAAGACCCGTGCCAAAGGGGTATGCCAATTTGTGGACAGTGTCACACACACACACACAAATCATCTGTGTTTTGTTTCCTGGTTTTTGTTTTCTCTCATAAAGCAATGTGCTCCTGCTGCAAGGTGTCCTGGTCCCAAGCTGTCTAGGGTTTGTGTACGACTCCCAGCTCTTTGAAGTTAGCCCTGTGAGATCTGAGCATAAGAATGCCCCATGCTGGATCTGGCCAGGGGCCCATCAAGCCCAGCTTCCTGTTCTCCCAGTGGCCACCGAGAGGCTTCAAAGGGAAGCCTGCAAGCAGGATTCGAGCAACACAACAACCATCTCCCCACCTGCGACTCCCAGCCTCTGCTGTTCAGTAGAGTTCTGCCTCTTACAAGACAGGGAGAAAAACCTTCGGTGTTCATGCACAGTCCGTAGGGTGTCCCCTGGAAATGGGCCTGAAGACCAGTTTGACTTGGGCTTCAATATGCTCACAGCGCTGAAAATTGGCAGGAGCACATGGGTAACGCTGCCACCATCTCTCCAACAACACAGATCATTATAAATGTGTGTTTATAATGGCTACTAGCCACAATATGGTTGTTCATTCTTCTTATTGATCATTTTATTGTGATCGACTACATGGAACTGGCGGAAATGACTGGCAGAATCCGAGACCAGAGAGAAGAGTTGGTGAAAGAAGACTGGAAGAAATTTAAAGACTATTTACAGAAATATTGTAAAATTAAGGAATCTTAGAAGGATGTTGGATAGAAACTAAGAGGTTTTTAGCTGTAATGCTTTAAGAGATATGAAAAAGGTTTGCAACTGGGTAATTTTAATGGTAAGGATTTGCTGAACTAACAAATTGAACTGGAATACAAAAAAGGGAGGTATGAGGAGGTCCGGGGAAATAAGTATAGGGAAGATAGGTTATGGAAAATTAATGTCCTTTTAACTGTTTTATTTGGTATGTTTTTTTTTTAAACTTTTTTGGTTATATTTTAAAAAAACTTTATTCTTCTTTTTTTTCTGTATTCTATATTTTTTGTATTTTTTGAAATTTTAATAAATATCATTAAAAAAAAGAAAAAAAGATCATTTTATTGTTTTATCCTTTTTGGAAGTCACGCTGAAATGGTGTGGTTGTTGTTTTTGACAATCAAGTGGTTACAGATTTTATGAAATGAAATAAATAAGAATGTTTGCATGTTGTGCATGTTGGTGGGTGATGTCCCATAAGAACATAAGGGGAGCTTGGCTGCTGAATCCCCCCAAGGAGATGCCTCATAGTCCTGGTCTTGAACCCCGGCCAAGCAGGTGTCTCTTGGGAGAAGCCCACAAGGAGGGCAGGACCACAACAGCACTCTCTGATAGCGGAGGAAGAACATAGATAATGTAAGGCTTTTGAAGAGTTAAAATAGCAATGAAGCGAAAACAGCTTAAAACTCGCCTCAACTTTCTAAACATGTTTGTTGACTTCTCTGCTTTGTTGTGTTCTGTATTCTCTATCATTGGCGGTTTCTGCAGAGACTGGGGAGATGCCAAGTCAAGAACCAAACACCAAGAACAGTTTATTGAACACACCTGAGTGGGAGGGATGCAGGTTGGGGACATTCTTGGATTTGGGGAAAGCAAACATTTGGATATGTTTTCAGAGCTGAGGAGAGATAACTCAGTTTAACAGTTTAACAGAAGTTTAGAAATGCAAGTTATGAAACCAAGCGTACTCATTTCATGAAATAGCATAGTGTTAAAAGGACTGCAAGAAGATCAAACTTATCCATTCTGAAGGAAATCAGCCCTGGGTGCGCACTGGAAGGACAGATCCTGAAGCTGAGGCTCCAATACTTTGGCCACCTCATGAGAAGAGACGACTCCCTGGAAAAGACCCTGATGTTGGGAAAGATGGAGGGCACAAGGAGAAGGGGACGACAGAGGACGAGATGGTTGGACAGTGTTCTCGAAGCGACTAACATGAGTTTGACCAAACTGCGGGAGGCAGTGGAAGACAGGAGTGCCTGGCGTGCTCTGGTCCATGGGGTCACGAAGAGGCAGACACGACTAAACAAAAAAATGAGGGAATGCTCCATTTTCAATGAGATATGGAGGCCGTTCCTGGCATTTTCTTTTTCTTTTTAATAAACATTGTCCATAGGATCATTGGAAATGGCATTATACAAAGTCAGACTATTGCTCCACCTCCCAGGCTGCCAGTATTTCTCAAGAGTCCTAGGCAGTAGTTTCTCCCATCCCCACCTGGAGATACCAAGGATTCAACCTGGAACATTCTCTACCCCTGAGCTACACAGTTTCCTCCCCTATGGTGCTATTCCATGATCATATGATGCATTATAATGTATGGCAGAATAGGGTACTCATGGAAAAGCTACCCTGTCTCCGTATATACATCTGTTTGTGGGTTTAAACGATGACCATGGTTTCCATAAATGCATAAAACCAAATGGTCACTTAATTTCCCTCTGCTGAGCTTGAGAAACCACAAACACTCTGGGGACATTGCTACACTCTTTGCCAATTCAGATCAGAACTTCTGAGAAAAAAGCCTGCCCAGGGCTTTGCGGATCTCTTTGGTTTTGATGCTGTAGATGATGGGGTTCAGAATGGGAGGAACGAGGAGATAGATGTTGGCCATCAGTGAGGGCAGCATAGGGGAATTGTGCTTCCCAAACCTGTGTGCCATGGACACACCAATCATCGGAGAGTAATAGAGCACGACAGCACAAATGTGGGAGACGCAGGTGTTCAGGGCCTTGAGACGGCCTTCCCTGGAGGCCATGCTCAGCACGGTCTTGAGGATCATCATGTAGGACAAGACGATGCACAAGGAATCAAGGCCAAATGTGGAAACGACAAAAAAGAGGCCATAGAGGTTGTTGACCATGATGTCCGCACAAGGGAGATGGATCAAATTGGGGTGCAGACAGTAAGGGTGAGCAAGGGTGGTAGACTTGCAAAATGGCAGCCTTCTTAGGAGGAGAGGCATTGGGACCATTAGGAGAACACTCCTCAGGGCAATCCCTGATCCCAACAAAATGATCCTAAGGCTTGTCAGGATGCTGGTGTATTGCAGAGGGTTGTAAATGGCTATGAAGCGGTCCAGGGCCATCGCCCAGAGGACCCCTGAGTCCATACAGGAGAAGCAGTGGATGAAGAACATCTGGCCAAGACACGCATCCAGCCCAATCTCTTTAGCATCAAACAGGAAGGTGCTCAGCACTGTGGGAAGGGTAGACAGGGAGACCCCCAGCTCACTCACAGCCAGCATGCAGAGGAAGAGGTACATGGGCTTGTGGAGGCTCTGATCCTTCACAATCACTAGGAGAACAGCACCATTCCCCAAGACAGCAATGACGTAGGCAAAGCAGAAAGAGAAGGAGACCCAGTTATTTCTGTTCTCTAATCCTGGGATGCCAGTAAGGACGAATGTGGGATGGAAGACACTTTGGTTATTTTGGGGTCCCATGGTGAGTGGTCAGGCTCCCCCATTCAGTAGCACCTGGATCAACATAATCAGTAAAGAAAAAGGCACCATCATCAACATGGGAGCTTCAATTGTTTTGGTTCTGCATTCCCAAATGCCATCTATATTGGTGGCCCAGGCTATAATTATAATCTGCTTGTGTTCATTAAATTATGCAGCATAGCTTTTGGTGAGCAGAAAGGTGAAAGATCCCTCAAGGTGACACCTTTGAATACTGAAAAATCACAATGTGCTGTCTTTTTTTATATATATAAAGCAATCAATAAACTGCCATATTTTGGGGGAAGTTGTTTGGAAAGCTCTTTGTCTATTCTAACCAAAGTTGGCAGGATGCTTTCTGAGATCAAGGAAGAGGTTTTCATCTACTTTTGGTCACAAAGAGATGCCATTTTAAATCAAAATGATTGACTAAACCTTCCAAAACTGCCCTGATTTATCCACTGCTCTGTTATATATCCCCTTCTGGACTTGCTCTGGACATCAGGGACATTGCACAGAGAATGTCTTCATGCTGCACCCAACACTATAGCTCTTAAGGACATTCTTCCCCTCAAAGAATTCTGGGCCCTCGCAGTGTTACCATTCCCAGCAACCCTTTCCAAACCACAGCACCTTCCGGATACTTTGGACTACATCTCCCATCAGCCACAGTGAATCATGTTCTGCTATCTGGAACAGAATCTGCATCAAGAAGGACATCTCCCTGCCAACCTTGATGAAACTGATGGCGCAGAACATCTTGGGGGGGGGGGACCAGATTCGGGGGAAACTGTTCTATGCAAATAGAATGATAGTGAAGCAAGGAAATAAATAGACAGCTAACAGAGTCTGTGTATACACCAGAGTGTTAATGTGCATGGTGTACCATAAGATCGATTTTCCCCATGTGATTTTGTGCATGTTCATCCACAGATGAGTACCCTCAATCATAGCTGTCAACCTTTCCCTTTTCTTGTGAGGAATCATATTCGGTATAAGGGAATTTCCCTTTTAAAAAGGGAAACGTTGACAGCTATGCCTTCAATTGATACAAAAGTGAAGAAGAAAAATGCCCAAACAATGCATTTTGGTTCATCCATATCAGTGAGCCTGAGCTTTCACAGCCAACACCCACCTTGGGCATGAAGGGCAGCAACAACAGCAGCTATGTCCTTTGCTTATGGTAATATTTCATTCTTTTGCTAATTATGCTTTTCTATTTTTAAAAAAATAATCTTTATTAATTTAAATCACACACACATGCAAAGAATCTACAAAGAATCTACAATCTCACACCACAAAAAGAAAACCAAACAATCAAGAAGAAGAAAAAGAAGAAAACACAGAAAAAAGAAAGAAGAAAAAGCAGATCTACATGCACAAAAAAACCCAATCTTCCCAACCAATACCCAAATAAACACTCAAATAAAAAAGACTTCTGACAAAAAGAGTCTTCCAATCATTCTCATTGTACTGTTTATACTGTCGTTATTTTCTTCACACAGTTTTATATTCTTTAATGATGCTCTTTTAAATGTGCATTCTATGTCTTACTTCCTTTAGCAACATTCTATTTTGAATTTTTTAAGATAAAACTTTTGTTTCCAGTTAAGTATGTTGCTTTGAATGTATTCTTGACTTTCTTCAGTAACTTTTTATTCTGAGTTGTTTTACTTGATCTTTTAATGTAGGTTGTAAACCACTTTGAGATTTTCTTTTCCTGAAAGTATAAAGCGGTGTGGATATGAAATAAGTCGTCATAATAATATCCTTGCAGTTTTGAGAGGAAGCAGTGGGGTGATCTGGTCAGGCCTTGCAATGGCTCCCATGTTTCCCAATTCATCCAGCGAGTACCTGGCTCCATCTCACCTCTCTTCTTGCCTGGTTCCACCTGAACTCTTTCCGTGGCAGCAGGTGAGCATCTAAGGCCACTGGTGCAGGTGAACAGAACCACCTGCCCATGGAAAGCTAGCATGCCAGGGATAAGGGCACCTTCGCCACAACTTGCTAGATTTCCACATATCAGGGAACCTATGACTCATTTGATCCTCCACCTGCCCTCTCAAATGCTTTGGGCAGGAATCCTTGCCTACTCTAGCATAGCCATACTTTAGCAACACTCTCCATTACAGCATCCTAGATTATTACCCCTAAAGCCAGAAGGGAACCTGCGACAGGCTTCTCTGATGAAGAACCAAGTTCCGAAGTGGAATATAAAAGGACTCACCTGGTGAGTCTCTGCTGGTGTCCAGGAGACGGATCCAATCCTGCCAGAGGCTCAGCTGGAGGAAGATTTATGCTGCTTTCTTGGGAATCCCTGGAGAGGGCGGAGAGGAGACTTTCCTCCCGCAGCTCTCTGGGACTCCAGAGGACACCCAAAGGAGAATCTTCTGCAGTGGGCAGGGTGGGTGCTGAGCACCATCTTCCCCCAACAAACGAGGTGCCAGCAGCTGCGGCCTCAACAACAGTAGTCAAGGCTGCGAACCAACTCTGTGTGTTTCTGTGTGTGGCAAGACTGGAGGAGAGGGAAGCAGGCAGAAAAGCCATAAAAGAAGTGAACAGCAGTGGAATTCCAGCCTTTTATTGCCTGGTTTACAAACATTTTAAGGAGTGGTAATGTGGAGTGCTTAACTGACAGCAATACTTTACATTTAGTTACATGCAAACACTTCATGCCATCCTCTGGTCCATGGGCCTAAATGGGTTCACCAAGACTCCCTGTTGGGCCATGAGGCTGAATAAGCCACCTGTCCATGTTTGACATCAGGTGCAGGGCAGGTAAAGATGCAGCTATGCCAAAAGGAGGCTTGACAGACCCTGCTGACAGACCTCCTGTGCAAAGCCCCACAGAGCCTCTAGTCAGCGCTCACAAACTTATTACGTCTATTAGTTTACCCTCCCTTCTTCCTAAGGTCCCAGGATAGGTTACAACATTGAAACACAATATTTCAAAAATAAATTAAAACAACCTCCAATTTCACACTTATTATGCTATTTTTGTGATATACAAACGACATGAGAAAACTTGGTATACTTATTTGTAGAACATCATTCTTGTTCCTAAAACCAAATAACAACAACCACCACCTCCAGTTCTTTTGCCTTTGCCTGCACAGTCTGAGTTCACAATATGTGGGCAGAAGCAGGACGCCTGGTATCAACGGTGAGACATCTGGGTGGGATGGAGCAGAGTAGATGTGGGAGAAAGGGAAAGTGGCTCTGAGGCGGGTTTCTTGGAAGTAAAAGCAGCAGCGCTGGGACTGGTGTGTGTGGCTCATGAAAGGGAAAAGGAGAAGCCAGGGAGTTCGAGCTAAGGCAGGAAGAAGCCCAAAATGGAACTGAGCACCAGAAACTTAAGCTGGAGGAGTTGAGATGGGTGGCAGATTTGGGACAGGCAAGAGGGGTGCAAGGAGGCCTTGTTGTTGATGCAAAGACATCGCCCGGGTTCAAGAAGGGAGATAATATTGAAGCCCTTCTCCTCAGTTTTGAATTTTGATTTTAAAATCCCTGATGCTGAGTGTATAATTACCCCAGATCTCAGTTTAATTTAATGCAGAGACAATGCAAGGCCTGTGAAGAAATTGACAAGCATCGCATCTCGCCCAGAGATTATTTTTTGGGAATTAAAAACAAATTCTGAAGATGCACCTAGCAACACATCTCAATGATTGGGACCAGAACCTGCAGCACCTCCTATCTGCCCACAGAGAGGAAGGCCAAGAGAGCCCGGGCTTCAGTCCTTTCTAATGACTTTATGGCTGCAACATAAGAGGTCTTTTTTTTATATAATAATATTTATTAGTTTTCCAACAAATTAAACACAACACTACAAAAAACCAAAAAAGAAAAAACATACGACAATACAATACAATACACACACACACACACACACACACACACACACAAAACACACTGCAAAACACTAACATACATCTAATAAAACAAAACAAAAACCATTTAAAACACAATCCAATTTCAATATCTTATCTTTCTTTCACTAATTTCCACGACCTCCTCGCACCTCCCTTTTTGTATTCCACTTCTATTAATTGTTTCAGCAACATAAGAGGTCTTTTGGACATTGTCGAAGATATGTGGGAAGTATTATTATTAAATTTATATACCACCCTACACTCGCAGGTCTCAGTAGATGTTCAGAAGCTGATGCTTCCACAGAGTCAGGCCATGTGATCCAATGCACAGACCCTCCGCAGAACACTCCTTTCTAGTACCATTTCACAATGACATGATGCACAACAAGTAAAGAATAGAAATACGAGCTTTTAACGAATCTACTCTGTGTGTGGATGTGCTTTAAAAAACGCCAGTAACTTTGGAAAAGAGGGAAAACAAAATGGTCACTCAACTTCACTCTGCTGAGCTTGAGAAGCCATAAATGCTCTTGAGGATATCACAACACACTTTAACACTTCAGATCAGTCTCTGTTGAGACAAAAACCTGCCAAAGGCCTTGCGGATCTCTTTGGTTTTGATGCTGTAGATGATGGGGTTCAGAATGGGAGGAACCAGGAGATAGATGTTGGCCATTAGAGAGTGCAGCATTGGAGAATTATGCCTGCCAAACCTGTGCGCCATGGAAACACCGATCATTGGGGTGTAATAGAGCACGACAGCACAGATGTGGGAAACGCAGGTGTTCAGGGCCTTGAAACGGCCTTCCTTGGAGGCCATGCTCAGCACGGTCTTGAGGATCATCACGTAGGACAAGACGATGCACAAGGAATCGAGGCCAAATGTGGAGAGCACAACAAACAGACCAGTTTGGTTATTGATGGTTGTGTCTGCACAGGGGAGCTGGATTAAATTGGGGTGCAGACAGTAAGGATGAGCAAGCACATTGGACCTGCAAAACGGCAACCTCCTCAGGAGTAGAGGCAGTGGGGTCATCAGGAGAATGCTCCTCAAGGCAATCCCTGATCCCAACAAAATGATCCTAAGGTTTGTCAGGATGGTGGTGTATTGCAGAGGGTTGTAAATGGCTATGAAGCGGTCCAGGGCCATCGCCCAGAGGACCCCTGAATCCATGATGGAGAAGCAGTGGATGAAGAACATCTGGCTGAGGCACGCATCCAGCCCAATCTCCCTGGCATCAAACAGGAAGACGCCCAGCACTGTGGGGAGGGTAGAGAGGGAGACCCCCAGCTCACTCACAGCCAGCATGCAGAGGAAGAGGTACATGGGCTTGTGGAGGCTCTGATCCTTCACAATCACTAGGAGAACAACGCCATTCCCCAAGACAGCAACCGCATAGGCAAAGCAGAAAGGGATGGAGACCCCAATATTTCTGGCCTGCAGCCCTGGGATGCCAGTGAGAAGGACTGTGGGGTGGAGGAAGCTTTGGTTACTGAGCAGCTCCATGGTGAGTGATCAAGTTCTCCCATCCAGCCGCACCTGGATGGACATAAGGAAAGAAAAATACACCAGGATCTACATGGGAGCCTTCGGTGCTTTGGTTCTGCATTTTTGGCATGTCCATACCGTTCATGAGCTATATTTATTTTGATCTTATTTATTTGGTAGCTCACCTTTTGGTCACACACACACACAACCCCCCCCCCCCAAAAATAATAATAATTAAAGAACCCACACAGTGACAGCAATTCATATTGAAGCATCACAAAGAACTGTCTTTTTAAAAACTCAATAAATCTAGCACTTTTGGGGGGAAAGTTGCTTGTTTGTTTGCACTACATTTGGACACCTCTTAACATATTTTAACCAAACCTTGCAGGATGGTTCCTGAGATTAAGGAGCGGGTTTTCATCTATGGTTGAATACCATAGACCAAAGAGCCATCACATGGAAGGTGGGGCAAGCTTGGTTTCTGCTGCTCCAGAAGGGAGGACCTGAATCAATGGATTCAAATGACAAGGAAGGAGATTCAAACTAATACTTCAGAAGAACTTTCTGGCGGTAAGAGCTGTTCAGCTGTGGAATGGATGACCTCAAAGGTGGTGGACTATCCTTCATGGGAGGTTTATAAGGACACCTTCTCCCCAACATACTAATTTTCTACATTTCAGAATGTCTTTTAAGAGATGGAGGACTTTGGGCACATTTGATCTTCCACCTGCTTCAGAATGGCCATCTTTGACAATTATGGCATACTCTATACAAGGCTGTCCATTATAGGAATTGAATCTTGGAGCAATATCCCCAAAGCCAGAAGGAAGTTTGTGGCAACCTTCTCTGATGAAGAGCAAGTTTCAAACTGGAAAATAAAAAGACCCACCTGAATGGAATCTCCTTGGTCTCTGCTGGTGGTTAGGAGAGAGATCCAGTTCTGCCAGAGACTCTGCGGCAGAAAGATTTATGCTGCTTTCTTGGGAATCCCTAGAGGAGGAGGAGGAGATGAGACTCTTTGTCAGCAGCTTGCAGAGACCCCAAGGGGCACCAACCCAAAGGAGACTCTTCTGATGCTGAGCACCTTCCTTCCTCAACAGAGCAGGTTGCAGCAGCTGCAGCAGCAAAAACAGCAGCCAAGGGTGTGGACCAATTTTGTGTTTGTGTGTGGCAAGGGAGAAAACGATAGAGGAGGAGAATGACAAGAAGAGAAGAGAATAACAGTGGGATTCTAGGTATTTATAATCTGTTCGTAATTAAAAATGTGAGGTAATGTGAGGTGATTAATTACCAGAAATACACTTGCTGGCATCCATCTGTCTTGAGAGACAATGGAGTGCGCCTATGGGGTGAAGGCAAGCCACTGTGTTAGCAGCACCAAAATGACCTCCTCGGGGTGCAAGCCTGGACAGTGTGTACGGAGGTCCTGAGCTACCCAGACGACAACACCTTTTCAGACTTGCTTGTTGTTGTTGTTGTTTAGTCATTTAGTCGTGTCTGCCTCTTCGTGACCCCCTGGACCAGAGCATGCCAGGCACTCCTGTCTTCCACTGCCTCCCGCAGTCTAACTCATGCTGGTAGCTTCGACAACACTGTCCCACCATCTCGTCCTCTGTCATCCCCTTCTCCTTGTGCCCTCCATCTTTCCCAACATCAGGGTCTTTTCCAGGGAGTCTTCTCTTCTCATGAGGTGGCCAAAGTCTTGGAGCCTCAGCTTCAGGATCTGTCCTTCCAGTGAGCACTCAGGGCTGATTTCCTTCAGAATGGATCGGTTTGATCTTCTTGCAGTCCATGGGACTCTCAAGAGTCTCCTCCAGCACCATAATTCAAAAGCATCAATTATTTGGCGATCAGCCTTCTTTATGGTCCAGCTCTCACTTCCTCGGACTTGCTAATGTGGTCCAAAGGAAAGCAGAGCAAAATGATGGCACCAGCTTGGCTGCAGGAGTTGTCGGAAAAAGGAGTACAAGGTGCCACCCAACTGTCTTAGGGACTCCAGATTCGTGTGGGGTTTACTCTTGAGCCTTTTCCTCTCCTGAAGATGTCCCTCAAGGCAGCAGAGGTTTAAGAACAGAGTTTTCCTTCTCCTAGATGCGCTGCCTTCCCAGGTGGGTGAACCCTGCCTGCCCTTCTCTTCCCTCTACAGCATGTGCAGCTATATTTTGCCCACTGTGGGGCTTGAACCCCTGTCCCTGAGATTAAGAGTCTTGCGCTCTACCAACTGAATTTGCGTAAGCCGCCTTGAGTCTCAGTCTGGGGAAAAGGTGGGATATAAAGAAATAAAACAAGAACAAAAAAATAAGTGAGCAAAAGTAGGTGTCATAGGTCATCGGATATTATTGGGACAGCAAATGAGTAACAGTTAGTGCCCCCACCTGTCAACCTTGGCCCACAGAGCTGGGAGGGGTGATAAGCATCCAGCCCACTGACCAGATCCAATTCCTTCAACCCTGATGTAATGATGAGTAACTGATATGCCTTATTGTAGGGTCTGCTTACCCCAACTGTTATTTCTTAGCCCCTAAAGTGAGCCCCTAAATAGACCCAGTGTGGTGTAGTGGTTAAGAGCGGTAGTCTCGTAATCTGGTGAACCGGGTTCGCTTCCCCGCTCCTCCACATGCAGCTGCTGGGTGACCTTGGGCTAGTCACACTTCTCTGAAGTCTCTCAGCCCCACTCACCTCACAAAGTGTTTGTTGTGGGGGAGGAAGGGAAAGGAGAATGCTAGCCACTTTGAGACTCCTTAAGGGGAGTGAAAGGTGGGATGTCAAGTCCAAACTCTCCTTCTCCTTCTCCTTCTCCTTCTCCTTCTCCTTCTCCTTCTCCTTCTCCTTCTCCTTCTCCTTCTCCTTCTCCTTCTCCTTCTCCTTCTCCTCCTCCTCCTCCTCCTCCTCCTTCTCCTAAATGAACCCACTTCTTATTACAAAAGCATCCAGAGCAATATTCTCTTGATGGAATTTTGGCCAAAATCCATGCAGTGAATATTTGGACACCCACCTAGGAACACTTCACAAGTAAAACCTTATATGGCCTTAAACTGTGGGGAACAGAGAGTTTGGTCACAATTAAAACAAGAAGGGCTGCAAACTGCTTTATCATTTATTGACAAAGAACCCAGTCAGATGGGTGGGGTGCAAATAATTAAATTATTATTGTTATTATTATTATCTTGTCTACATGTGAAATGCCTGTGATGTCGCAGAGCAAGCTGGCCAGTGTGGGGATGATCGCGGAGTGGGAAGTGGGGTCCCACAGAGAACTCCTCCGCCTCTTCTCCCTTGGTTGTGGTTGCAGCACCAAGAGAAACCAAGCTTGGGACACAGTTGCCCTACCTTGCAGTCCAGAAGGTGAATGCCAGGAAAGAGAAGGGAGGGAGGGAGGGGAAACACGGTGTGGGGCAGGAGCTGGAGCCCAAACCCCCAAGCTCAAGTCCAACAAACGGTCATCACACTGTATCCAATCTCCTAGAGGCAGCACCCCCTGAGGAACAAAATGCAGAACTAAACTGTGACAACAAACCTGTACAAACATAGATAAAGGAAGATACTCCTTCTGTGTGTGCTTGTGCTTGTGTGTTCCAGAAATACCAATAGATTCTGCAAATGTGCACAACAAAATGTTCATTCATCTACAGTGGTACCTCTGGTTAAGTACTTAATTCGTTCCGGAGGTCCATACTTAACCTGAAACTGTTCTTAACCTGAAGCACCACTTTAGCTAATGGGGCCTCCTGCTGCTGCTGTGCCGCTGGAGCATGATTTCTGTTCTCATCCTGAAGCAAAGTTCTTAACCTGAAGCACTATATCTGGGTTAGTGGAGTCTGTAACCTGAAGCGTATGTAACCTGAAGTGTATGTAACCCGAGGTACCACTGTACTGAACTGGAGAAGCCATAAACCCTATTGGGGATGACATTGAGCTCTTTGCCATTCCAGAGCAGAACTTCCGTAGAGACAAAAATCTGCCCAGGGCTTTGCGGATGTCTTTGGTTTTGATGCTGTAGATGATGGGGTTCAGAATCAGAGGAACCAGGAGGTAGATGTTGGCCATCACCGAGGGCAGCATTGGAGAATCGTGCTTGCCAAACCTGTGTGCAATAGCCAAACCAATCACGGGAGTGTAATAGAGCACAACAGCACAGATGTGGGAGACGCAGGTGTTCAAGGCTTTCAGATGCCCTTTCTGGGAGGTTATGTTCAGCACGGTCTTGAGAATCATCACATAGGACAAGAGGATACACAAGGAATCAAGGCCAAATGTGGAAACGACACAAAACAGGCCAGTCTGGCTGTTGACTGTTGTGTCTGCGCATGGAAGCCGGATTAAATCGGGGTGCATGCAGTAAGGGTGAGCGAGCAGATTGGACCTGCAGAATGGCAGCCTCCTTAGCAGAACAGGCAGTGGGGCCACCAGGAGACCACTTCTCATGGCAATCCCTAATCCTATCCACATAATCCTAAAGTTTGTCAGGATGGTGTTTGTCATGTACTGAGTTGAATAGGATCCAAACTGCAGCAGTCTGATTGGTCCTAGAACAATGCAGCAGTATGATTGGTTGGCAGGAACCACCCAATCATGCTCCAGATATAAGTGAATCCACAACCTGATTGGCTTACAGTAGAATTCCAGAATTAGCCAATCATGTGCAGCCCATTGTGTAAATAATGTATATAAAGCAGATACTGTGAGGGGACATTCATTCATTCCTCCTCACCACTATGAGCTGAATAAAGAGCATTAAATCACTTTGCGACTCTGAGTATATTTCAGTGTTGTATTGCAGAGGGTTGTAAATGGCTATGAAGCGGTCCAGGGCCATCGCCCAGAGGACCCCTGACTCCATGCTGGAGAAGCAGTGAATGAAGAACATCTGGCCAAGACACGCATCCAGCCCAATCTCTTTAGCATCAAACAGGAAGGTGCTCAGCACTGTGGGAAGGGTAGACAGGGAGACCCCCAGCTCACTCACAGCCAGCATGCAGAGGAAGAGGTACATGGGCTTGTGGAGGCTCCGATCCTTCATGATCACTAGGAGAACAACGCTATTCCCCAAAAGAGCAGCAACATAGACGAAGCAGAAAGAGATGGAGACACCAATATTTCTGGCCGACACTCCTGGGATGCCAGCAAGGTGGACCATGGGGTGGAGGAAGCTTTGGTTACTGAGTGGTTCCATGAACAAGAATATTCCCACAACCTGCATGTACGTAAATGCAATGGTTAATACAGCAGCTAGATTTCCTGATTTCAGCCTTTTTATGGAGCAGCTAGTCAGTATCTAAAATCCATGGTGTGATATCCCAGCCTGCGTTTCAAAGCAAGGAACCCAAAACAAAAGAAGGCACAGGAACAAATGTCAATCTTTTCTCCTTCGTCCTGTAACTTCTTGGGTTCTGTTCTGTTTGTGTGTGTGAATGCAGGAGGGACTTTTCTGCAGATGGCAGCCAACCACCTTGGATTTGGGGTCTTATATCTTGATGGAGTTGACAGATCTATTCTTTCAGAATCCGCAAATCAGATCTTACTTTATGGCTGTGCAGAACTTTGGGGAGGTTCCACTTTCACTACAAAAGGGCAAGTGAAAAAATATTTAAATCCCGCTCTTTGACATTTTTTATACATGGCTATAAAGACTCATGCCTCGCCCCACCCCCACCCTGCTGCTGTAGCACCCTGCTTGTGGTTAACGCTTAGCTGGAATGAAATATTCAACGCAGCAATAGAGAAATTAAAATAATAATTTATTTATCAGACAAATAAATGATAGGCACAGTGGTATATGGTTACCAAAGCTCTGCCCCCTCCAGCCCTGATGGCCAGCACTTATATTTCCTCAGCCCAGCCCCCTTGCTCCTCCTTTGGCTGCCTCTGTCCAATCAGCCTGGTTGAAATTCCTATTGGCTGTTTGCTAGAACCACTCATAAAAGATACACCCATTTCCTATTACCTTTTATGGGAGACAAAGAGCTATATTTCCTTCTATCCATAAATGGCAGACAAGTAGCCATATATCTTACATTTGCCTCGACAAGGCACCTTAATTACCAGATCACCTTTTGTCCCTGTTGCCCCTGCATTCCAAAACAAATGGCTCATGGTATTAAATTCTATCTAAACAGAGATCTTGGGTTCACATTCTCACACACCATCAATGAAATAAGAATCTAACATAAGAATCTAACATTTCTTACTTTCTAAATCCTTTGCATAATTACATTAAGCCAACAAATCTCATACATAACATAGATAGCTTTTTAGAAGAAAAGGCCTTTGCAAAGTAAAAAGGAACTCAGTAAAAACAGCTTCAAAAGAAGCCTCTTCAGTTTACACCCTCCTTTCCCAGCCAGCTGCTTTTCCCATTAGCTCTTCCCAAAATTTATTGCCCTTAATATGGCTAGACTTTGAGAAACTTGTCTCCTGCTACTGCTGTAAATCGGGGGGGGGGGGGGGCTTGTTCAGGAGAGCAGGAAGATAAACAACTGCCAAAGTACTTAGCCAGCTGGTTTCTGCCTGACATGAAACATACAAACATTTGCAAATATATCTTTAAGCTCATTTTAAAATGCAGGCCTTGATCAGATGCCTCACTGCAACCTCTGCTGAGTGGAAGGCGAAAATCTCTACTCTTGTGCTGCCAGTTATGCAACCTTTCACAAATGAGTGGAAAGATATAAAAATGCCAAGATGGAAGGGGGCAAAAATGTTCACAAAATGCGTCATCCTATCGTTTCAGTCCTAATTTCTTTTTTTTTTCTTTTTTGGCATGGAACAGCATAAATCTTCTTCTACAATGCAGAAATCTCCTCTCCCACCCACTCACCTCTGGCCTTCATTCAGTGCAGGGCTCCATGGATCCTGTCCTTTGCTCCTTGCTGTTCCAAATCTGCAGAAGCCTCTCCTTCACACAGCAGGTCTGCGGGTGGCAAAGGCCAGGCTCCCAGGCAGAAGCCACTTATATGGGGCCTGTTTTCTCCCTTTCCTGGGAGGAGCCTCTACAGACTGAGAGAGACCAGCCTCTGACCAGTGAGGCAGCCCCACCCGATGCAGTTGCTCTGCTTAGCCTCACCCTGGAGGAGCTCACAGCAGATGAGACCTGGGGGACCATCACACTCCTGCTCTCCGGGGGAGCGACAATTAGCCAGGGGCAAATCTGTCCATTTTACTCTCTCTCTCTCTGCTTCTCCTTTTTCCGATCTTACATTCACTTCTCCACATTTCCATATTAGTTTCCTTTTTAAAA